CGCCTCCTTTAAAATTTATAGATAAATTTAAATAGTCTTTGAACTTGACAGCATTTTAAACTTCCTGTACAAATTTATTAATGATAATTAATCTACAATATATCGCAATATATTGCAATATTTAACGTTAAATATTGCAATATATCGCAATATGGTTTTCACTCGCAATACCCAACTCTATTGAAACAACCTATTTTTTCTATCTTTCCTATTCAATGTCGTCGTAGTTTGACTCCTCCCACTTCGTCCTCCAGTTCTCCCAGATTTTGGGAAACTCTGTCTTAAAACATAAATCGGTTGATGAAAATGTTTAGGGACTGTAATATCTTCGTCAGGCTGCCGGGGATAACTTCAGGAATGGTCCCTGTTGACTTGATTCTGTCCTTGGTGACATCGCTGATGTGTGCTCTCATGAAGTCCTGGACAAGCAGGCTATTGGTTTGTCAGGAAAAAAATTGGTTGCTTACTGTAGCAGGAAGTCAGCTACATGTCCATAACATTGTTATCCATCCACCCCTTCTCGTTCTGGTGAACCACAATATCAGATGGCATTTTTTCTTTAAAAGCCGTTTTCTCTTGAAGATAACCATTGGTGGGAGCTTTATGCCGGTAGCGGTACAGCTCAGGACGACCGTGAATGAGGATTTCTCGTGGCCGATGGTCTGGATGGTGATGGACTTAGCACCCTGGTTCTCGATGGTCCAGTTCATCGGGATGTCGAATGTTAGGGGAACTTCATCCATGTTGATGATGTTGCTGCTGATATTGTGGTGCATGTTGTGGATCTGCTCTATTACACATTGTCGGATTGATGAGATTTTCTAGGCATGGTAATCTGGAAGTTGCTGTGCTCTTGGGCCAGTGGGGCCACAATTTTATGGTTACTGTTGGGGCTTTTTTGAAAAAAAGTTATTACTAAGTTGTAAAGTTTTGCCCTTGTCAGTCAAAGTAGTCAAGAAGTTTTGTATAGACATTATGAGGTTCTGGGAATATATACTGATTTGATGAGCTGCTGATGAAACATGCTTCATTAGATCGTTTTTTCACTGTTGTCAATCTTTATACTTTTCATACAAAGTCTGCAGAAAGCATGACCTACTATCACACTTTTTGTGAGCCATCCTTGGAATTCTGCTTCTTTTTCCCAAGAATTTGGGTACTTGAAGACATATCTTCTCTTTTTTGTCTTTGATGGTCTATTTTCATAATTTAAGAAATCATATATAATTTTAATAAGGAATGCCATATTTCCCAAATTTTAAAACAATTAAATTGCACAATGTTAATGAATTGTAAAATTTTGCTGCAAATATCAAAGGCTCACTAATTTCTATTATATTTGGTTGCTATTTTTTCTAATGGGATTATCAGTAGATGTTTCCCTGTAGCAAGAGTGCACTTGCTCAAGCTGAGAACGCCTTATGGTATTCATAGAAGGCTGAACCTCTTGTAGTAGATGCCATTTCTACTATGTCACGTTCATAGGCATCTAATTCTTGATGCGGTGCAGGATAAACCTCACAAATAATGTTCTTATACTTCGTGAAGGCTATAATAAAATAGTTTTAAGAGTTAAGTTTCTCAGTAATCTAGCGTCATGATATTGTTTCAGTAAAAGAAATGACCATCGCTGTCGGTTACTCTTTGTTCCTCTGTCTCACGAGGCATGATAAGTAAGGCTAAATTAATATCTTTTAACCTTGCAAAATATTGTTTCGAAGTGTAGAAGATATCGTTTCCACGCAGGGAACAGAGTCCGAGGAAACTCTGGTCGGGACATCCTGGGGCATGTTCCACGGAATTTTCTCAAAGTTTCTCCCTGTATTGTCGGTAGAGGTACTGGGCTGGTTGGATCTATTTTGGTTCCTCTTAAGTACGTCCAATTCGTTCGACAACTTTGTTACAGAATCCCTTATGCCACAAATTGCATCACTCAATTCGTTAGAAGACAACATGCGCCCAGCTTCATTTCCGTTTGTTTGTAATGATGATGCCGGAAGTGTCTCTTCCCCCACTTCTCCTGCGCCATCTTGAATCTGTACAAATTCAAAATTGCGTGTTAAGCTATTTGTCGACGACTTTTCATTACACAAAACATTGTCTTGGTAAATTTACTAACTGAGACTTTTTAAGAGATACTGGCAGCACGATTCCTTTTGATTTCAATTTTTGTAATATTTCAGCGGATGTCCAGTTTTCGGGTTCATTAGTGTCCCATCGAGTAATTTCCTGTAGGGTCCTGTTGGTGTTTCAGATCGTTTTCGTTTCCTTCCAGGCATCTTTTCAGTAATGAATAAACAGAAATCTTAAACAATCAATATTATCACTTCTCTGAGGTCAACACATCTAGGTCACAGTATAGGAAATTAATAGTCCATGTCCATATTTTATAAACAAACACACGCATACCTGTCAACATGGCCAAAATTTTTCGGGGGAGAAAACGTGCGACGACCTTTTGCAAATACAAAAAGTCACGCATTTCATTGTTCTATAGAACAAAAATAAACAACTTACAAGATAAAACTTTATTATAATATAAACATTATCATTAATTCATAAAATTTACTGTTTATTCATACATTGTTTAGAAACTTGTACACTGTGATTTAATTTTGAAATTATAAAAATTTATGTTCACTATCTAGCTATTCTGCCTGTCCATAAGAGCATCATTTATTTAATATTCATGGCAAATGTTGTAGTTTAATTTGGCAATTAGAAAAATTAATAAGATTCTGCAGACAGTCTAAGTTTCCAGCTTTTAATAGATGCATGAATGGATTTTTCTCACTAGGTCTAAGGAACATGAGTTGTGTCCTGGATTTAAAGTTCTGAAATTGAAATAATTGTCAAAACCTCATGCTTATATTCTTAAAATAATGTGTAATCTAGTATGAATGAAATACATGGACCCTGTATTTTTTCTTTCAATCTCTTAACATATATCATCTGAATTTTTAAATATAATACTTTATTTTGTAGAGAATTTTAATTTAGAAATGTATTACCCTGTTTAGCTTTGTAAATTTAAAGAAGTCCCAAACTGTTATATGCTGATGTTCCTGCAGGATTTACTATTGAATCTCAAAATCTGATTGCTTCCATGAAATTGTTTCCCTCTCCTTGTTAAATTGATAATAGAGTACTGTTGTTACATCTTTCCTGATCACTGTATTGTTTATGGAGAAATAGTTTTGTCTTAGGCACTTGTAAACTTATTTGCAACAAAGTATCAAGTACAATGAAGCGCATTGAAGTGGTAAAATTTTCCGTTTGGACAAAACGTTCTGAGTCATGTTTTGAACGTCAATTACAACATAATGAAATTTGAATGTTTTAGGACACCCCAATCTTCGCGAAAAGCAGTATCACTGAAATGGAGCTTTAAAAAAAGTAGAAGAGAGAGTTAGAGACTAATATATAATATTTTTTAACTTGTCATGTCTATTGAAGTTACCATAACACATGTAAAATAATAATTTCATTGGCTATTATATTTATGGAAAACCTGTTCTACATATTGTTGATTGAAAAAAGATGACAATAAACGTTTCTTTCATTTTACCACTTCAATGCACTTCATTTAAACATTATTTACCGTCATGTCAAAAATGATTAATATACACTTTTAATGTTTACAACATTACATGTATTTGAACCTTGTTGATTACCTGTTATCAGTGGCAATGCTACCGATAAACACTGCATGACCTCCATTTTTGTGTTGACTAGTCGGTATTTTACTAGGTAAAAAATCCATTTTTTCAAAATCGGTATTTAAAAAAAATTCATTCCAATCAGAGTTGTCACACACGTGGAACTGCACGTGGTAATTTCCACAGCAAGGAATTATTAACAATGTCAAAAGTTATATCTGTCATATTTGCATGTTCATGCTGTGGTACACTATATGCTAAATTTGATATCATATATAAACTATATTTAATAACATTAAAATAATATTAAATTTCCACATTTGTATTGAAAAAGTAAAAATTTCTTTCATACATTTAAACATTCTAGTCAGATTCACTTTTAAGTTTCAACATTTGTATTAAAATGTAGAAATTTTTTTTTTAAACATTCCAATCAGAGTCACACTTAAATTTCCATATTGAAAAGTTTTCTTCATACATGTTCATGCATGTAAACATTCATGTCAGGGGGGGGGGGGGGGGCTTAACTGTTTCCTGGCACATCTGATCCTCTCTGTTATGGTGTCATTTAGAGTTGCTTCTGATGGTACAACCAAGCCATTTTTCTTACACCATAGAACAATATAATCTGAAAAAGAAGGATCGGTTTAAAAGTACTTAAAAGGATCATTTTTTGTCATTTTATATTTGATACTTTAAAATTGTTTTTTAAATTTTGCAATAGCAATTAAAAGTAAAACTTTTAAGAATTGGAGAAAGAATGTTTTTCTTGCTTTTAAGATCACTGATTGTGTCGCCATCCAGGACAAGCCTTGGGTCTTCCTTTGTCTTTTTTCCTTTGCCCTGGCCACAAGAACTGGCCAGAGTCTGTAATGAAAAAATCTTTGCCAGGAGTTTGTAACAAAGGGTGCATGTACCCTGGCCTCTTTGATTTTCTTAAGATGTGGCCATCCTCATGCCGTCTGGATCTACTTTGGTGTTTTTACCCTCAATAAGCTTTATCTGGAAAATTAATTTTTATTATTTATTAGATATGATCAAAACACTGTCATTGTAGTTGCATTCAGTGAAGAAGTTTGATTACTAAAACACACATACAAAATAGGAATTCTGAAAGCCAGAAACATACAAAAAAATAATTCAATAGACAAACAACTAAATGGGAATGAAAATATATCAAAATCATACAAATATATGAAAATTTAATCTTTAATGCCCAAGTGCAGTCTTAAAACCAGTAATTTTAAAACTACCAATTGTTTCAAGGCTGCAAGATTCTTATAAAAAGTACCTTTTCCTTTAGAACTTCCTTGTGCTTCCTGGGTAAGCGTTTAAGTGGTGGTGATGACATGTGAAGGGTCTCATTTTCAGTGGATGGCACTAGCAGAGGTGATGATGGTGGGGGTGGTGGTGATTGTGGTGGTAGTGTTGATGGTGGTGCTGGCAGGGTTGATGGTGGTGCTGGCAGTGTTGATGGTGGCGCTGGCAGTGTTGATAGTGGCGCTGGCAGTGTTGATTATGGTGCTGACTGGGTTGTTGGTGGTGCTGGCAGGGTTGATGGTGGTGCTGGTAGGTTTGATGGTGAATCTGTCAAGGTTTCATGTGTTATAGTGTGTGAAAGGTTTATATTTCTGTACATCTGTCCATGATCTGCAGCAGCTAGTGTTGATGAAGGCATTGAAGGTATAAAGTCCAAGTTTTGCCAATATTCAGCTGTAAAGTCGTGGTGTGCTATACTAGAAGTTTGATGAGTGTCATTCCAATTGTCTAACTTGTCTTGAGATCTTGGTTGAAAGTCTCCACATGAGGCCTATTTCAATAAAATAAAACATATCATTTGTAATCACTGTAAATTGAACTTTGAGGTTATTTAAAAAAAACCATCTAAAGCCCTAAAAATTAGGTATAGTACTGTGACTTGTGTACTGTTGGTTATTATCTGAATGTACCGCTCATACTTACCCTTGCTTTACAGAGCTCTATATGGTGCAGGAGTATCCTCAAATAATTTTGGACATCAGGTCTAAGTATTCCTTCCAAAACCCTAATTGTCTCATCTGACAGAATTGAAAAGAAATTAAAAAGAAAATTGAAAAGACTTGTACAAAATTATTGTGCTTCTTTCAGTTATAGTTGCCCATATAATTTTTCTTTCCTTTTTTATACGCCCGTCTTAAGACGGGACGTATTATGTTATAGGCTTCATGTCCGTCCGTCCGTCTGTCCGTCCGTCCGTCTGTCCATTCGTGTCCGGCTCATAACTTCAATACTATTAGGCCTAGGATTATCAAACTTTGTCGACTGATACTTCTTGGGTAGACGGTGTGTCGCGCACAAAAAGTAGGTCGCTCTGACCTTTAATAAAGATGCTATGGCCAAATATGGAAAAATCCTGTCCGGCTCATAACTAGAAAACTATTGAACCTAGAGCTATCAAACTTGGCAAAAGTATACATCTTAGGTAGAAGGTGTGTCGCGACCTATTTCAAGGTCACTGTGACCTTTAATTTTAGCGAAATTTTTTAAAAAACTAAGTTTTTTAAATTTTAAATTTCATAACCCTAAAAATATAAAAAATAGAGTTGTATCCTTATTAAAAAGTATTAAATCAAGTAAAAACTTATTTTTTTCATCATATACTTTACAGGAATCTTAAACAAATTTCAATGTTAATGAGAGGAATTCAGTTTGTCCCATGGGCATAATTATCAAGCACTGGTCAAGAAGAATTTTGATAGCAGAAAGTTGCATGTCAAATTAGAGAGAAATTAATGAGTTTAGTGTGAGGAGTTAACTAGTAGAGCATTGGTGTTATCAATATCCCTTGGGTATTGGGCAAATGGACAGCCAGCCTAGCTGTTAGATTAAAAATAGCTCTTGTTGGCTAGCCTAAGTTTTAAAATGAATTTGATGAAAAGTAATTAAAACTTATTTGATAATGCATAATAAACCAATAATCTGATATTATATAATATTAATTAATTAAAAACTAATTTTATGGGGTGGGGTTGAATCAGCATGCCTACTTGTCCATATGAATTAAATATAAAACCTGTCTGGCATTAAATCTAAAAAGAAATCATGAAGTATTTTATGTGTTTTAAAAGTGTTTTAGGATAAAAAGTGCAGATCCATTAATATTTAGGGAGTAATGAGTAGACGAGCATCCTGTCAAAGATTAATTAATGAGTTCAATGTAGGAAGGCTATCTGATCAAGTGCTGCCTTATCTGTATCCTTTGGGGATTAGACAGAAGAACTGCTGGTCAGTTTATAGCATATGTCATTTTATGGCCAGCCTTTCTTTTCAAAATTAATTTGGCATAGATTAAGTTGTTAAGACTAATTTGATATTGTTTATTATGATGGCCGGCATTTGACAAAGTCTAACACAAACAGTATAGAAATCTATCAATTATCTAATATTTGTTATAATTATGCCTTCAGCACAGGGGATGGATAAAGAAATATTTTTTTAAAAAATGGAAAAATCATGGAAATCTTAGAATCAAGGTTGACAGTGATTTTCTTGCACTCTTAACTGTTAAAGATAATTGTGCAATTTTTTGACGGGCGTATCATGCTGTGGCGTGGCACTTTATTTGTATTTCTTATCTTAATTATGAAAGATTTAAATGCATTAGTATATTGAAACATTACCAGAGGCCTGTTCAGCAGAGCGAACGTTCGCGAGCGCTCGCCAAAATTCCTTATACCTCCAATAGTAATTTTGGCGAGCGCTCGCGAACGTTCGCTCTGCTGAACAGGCCTCAGGTATTTCAAGAAAAGTCCTCTGAAAACTTGTAGCTGATGTAGACCCTTGAACATTTTGAATAGAATTCATTGCATTGCTACACATTTCCCATTAAAAAAAATCACTAGGAGTAAAAATTGCTGAAACAGGTCCTTGGGATCAGAATACCAAAAAGACATGGCAAGCTGTAGAACAGGAGAGAGTTTTCAAGCTCTGCAGGTTATAGTGAAAAATTTCAATCAAGGATCTGGATAATCTTACAATAAAATAAATATCTTGATTGTGCGATTTGGCAAACTACAATATTGGTAGCATTTTAACCACCCCAAACAGAACACATGCATGTAATCCATTGCTATTCCTCAAATACAGTCAATTCTCAAATTATTGCCATTCGATTCATCACCATTTTCGCAATACCGCCATGATTTCCCAAGAATGTTTTTCCTGCTATATAAAATTCTCTTTATAACGCCAAATTCGCATACCGCCATCCGCCACCCTGTTT